ACACAGATCCTACATGAGGAGTAAGTGCACAGTGACTCCTGTGTGTTGACTTTACCAATTGACACTCCTGTCTATGGCATCAGTAATCTCCCTATGCTCCAGTCATGAGTTTCCAAGGCTATGGAAGCCCTCTGAGTTCTCCGATTCTTATCTTGTTTAGACAAGGTCATAGTCAAAGTGGAGGTTCTCTCCTCCCTTCAGAGAAAGGTACCTCTTTCTTTGAAGGCCTGTTGTTTCCACTGGGATCTCACTCGTGGAGATCTTTCATTTAGGTTTTTATTCTTTTTTTTTTCCCCAGAGTGTCTTGGCTTTCCATGCCTGAAATACTCTCATGGGCATTTCAGCTGGATCCACATGCCTTAAGGGCTGATTCTGAGGCCAGAGTGCTGTTTAGGACATCTGCCATTCTATGAGTCTGCTGTGTATCTCGCTTCCCATGTTGGATCACCTCTCCCTTTTTGATTCTATCAGCTAGTATTTGCAGACACTATTCTTGTTTATGTGATCCCTTTGGTTCTTAGTCCTATCATTATGATCAATTGTGAACAGAAATTGATCACTGGGACTAGTGAGATGGCATTGGTACATGCCACCTTGATGGGATTGAATTGGAATCCCCTGGTATGTTTCTAACTCTACCGTTTGAGGTAAGTCAGCTTGAGGTTGTCCCGAATTGCACATCTCTTCCCTCTCTTATTCCCACTCTTATATTTAACAGTGATCACTTTTCAGTTAAGTTTCAGCACTTAAGAAGAATTGTGTATTGATTACAGTATTCAACCAAAAGTATTAAGTAGAACAAACAAAAAAAATACTAAGAGGGATAACATATGAAGTTGCTCATCAACAGTCAGGGTGAGGGCTGATCAAGTCACCGTTTCTCATAGTGTTCATTTCACTTTAACAGGTTTCCTTTTTGGTGCTCAGTTAGTTGTCACCTATCAGGGAGAACAAGTGCTATTTGTCCCTTTGGGATTGGCTTATTTCACTCAGCATAATGTTTTCCAAATTCCTAACAGGGATCACTTTTCAGTTAAAATTTAAACACCTAAGAATAATTGTGTGTTAATTACAGAGTTCTACCAATGGTACTAGAACAAAAAAAATACTAAAATGGATAAAGTATTACATTGTACAGCAACCGTCAGGACAAGAGCTGATTAAGTCACTGTTTCTTATAGTGTCCATTTCACTTCAACAGTTTTCCCCTTTGGTGCTCAGTTAGTTTCCGATCAGGGAGAACATATGATATTTGTCCCTTTGGGACTGGCTTAATTCACTTAGCATGATGTTTTCCAGATTCTTCCATCTTGTTGCAAATGACTGGGTTTTGTTGTTTTTGACTGCTGTATAGTATTCTATAGAGTACATGTCCCATAATTTCTTTATCCAGTCTACTGTTGATAGGCATTTGGGTTGGTTCCAGGTCTTAGCTATTGTGAATTGAGCTGCAATAAACATTAATGTGCAGACAGCTTGTTTGTTTGCCAATTTCATTTCCTTTGGGTAAATTCCAAGTAGTGGGATGGCTGGGTTGAATGGTAGGGTTATCTTCAGGTTTCTGAGGAATCTCCAGACTGACTTCCATAGTGGCTTAACCAATTTGCATTCCCACCCACGTTCACAAATCCTCACAAACTTATACAAAATGGGCCCTAATATTTGCCTGAGAGAAAGTAAGCCCCAAACTATGTACAGAAACTTTGTTTCCAATATTTTATTATGGACACAATCTTCATTGAGGAATGAAAGGGTCAGTATGAGCTGATACATGAAGGGAACAGACCAGGTGCCACATGTGTGGTCAGCACTCCACAGGCATGTGGTCAGCACTCCACAATAGGACTGAGAGATGGATAATGTCATCCAATTGTATAAATGAGGCACAAAGTTAAAGGCAATAGGAATGTTATCCTGGATCAATGTCTAGCATTTGAATCCCTATCCTCACTGTTTCCCAGGGCCTGCAATAGCAGGCTTCTACAGTCAGGATCAGGAGTTGGTTATTGATCCCAGGTACAAAATATGGGACACAGGCATCTTAACTAGATTATTAACCACTAGGAAAAATATCCTTCTCCAAATTACTTTTTTATACTAACCCTTTGTAAAAATATAACTATAAAATTATTTTCTTCGTCTTTTAACTGATAGAAGAAAAATCTTTCTTACAATTAATTGAGCAAATTAATGACAAAGAGAGTATTTCAATTTTAAATCTACCAAATACTTTCAAAATGTATCAAATCTACCAAATAATTTCAAAATGTGTCAAAAGATACATGCTTGTTTAAAAATAAGAATCACCTATAGAGTATACCTCAAGAAGAAATTCCATTTTTAATGAAATAGAAATGTTGTATCCCTTTAAAATACCACTTATAAAAGAATAGCTTAAGCATTCTATTGGTGCTTGTTTCAAATTTAGCTCTCATTTTTGTTACCTTTTAGATTTTCAAAAATAAAATTTTCAGTTGATTTCTAAACAGTTTAGCTTACAAAAATGTATGCTGACCCATTGTCTACTAGAAGGCATACACTGATATAATTTATCTTTATTTTTATTTTTACTTTCTTTATTTACTACTGTAGTCATTTCAACTAACTGTAGCTGAAGGATACTTCCAGTGAATCAGTGGTTGTAAGCCCTGAGGGTTAATCACTTTTAGAGTCAAGAAAATGAAGTGGACATAAATGAACAGAATATTAAATGTATATTTAATTTTAATATTAAATGTAAGTAGCAGTAATATCTCAGAGAACTTTAGAATACTTTACGCAGCGTTAAAACTTTTCAAATATAGATGTATTTGTATAAATCTATTTATAAATATAGTGATATAAATGTGATAAATTTAAAATAAATAATTAAGTGGAGTGAATTGAATATTGTCGTATTATTTGAACATTACTGAGACTTTATTTTCTGTATATATATATAGTAATTAGATCTTATTTTAAATTATTCTTATTCATTGTTAGTTACTTAAAGAGAAAAAAAAGAGGCAGATAGATGAATGATATTCCATCCACTGATTCAGTCTCCAAAGGCTCACATCTGAAACCCAGAAACTCAATCTGGGCCTCCCATATGAGTGGCAATGACCCAGCTACTCAAATTGTCGCTTCCCAGGGTACACATTAGCAGGGTGCTTAATTGGAAATGGAGCCGAGGACTCAAACTCAGGTACTCTGATACTGGATGCAACCAGCTGAAGCAATGTCTTAACCACTGCATCAAACACTCATCCCTAATTTATTCTTTTTTTTTTCTTTTAAAAATTTATGTATTTATTTGAAAGGCAGAGTTACAGAAAGGCAAAGGCAGAGAGACAGAGACAGAAACAGAGACAGAGACAGAGAGAGAGAGAGAGAGGTCTTCCATATGTGGGTTCACTCCCCAGATGCCCACAACAGCTAGAGCTGCCCTGATCTGAAGGAGCCAGGAGTTTCTTCCAGGTCTCTCACATGGGTGCAGGGACCATCTTCTACTGCTCTCCCAGGCCATAGCAGAGAGATGGATCAGAAGTGGAGCAACTAGGACTCAAATTGGTGCCCAGATGGGATGCCGGCACTGCAGGTAGCAATTTTACCCAATATGCCACAGCACCGGCCCCTCCCCTTATTTGTTCTTCATAAGTACATTTTATGACAATATTTGAAATATCAAATTTCTGATTCTTTAACAACTACATTAATTTAAAATGGTGCTATCTGTAATGAAGATTGTAAAATATTAATAAATCAATAATTATACAGATTATACAAAGGTAAATATATTTAATCATCTGAACACAAAATAATTCAAACACACATAGTATCAAATTTCACAGTTATTCAAAAAATACAAAACAATCTTATAATGTGAAAGACTTTCCAGTTGACATTTCAAACGCATTAACAGAAACTAAAAATTGAGGGGCCAGGCACTGCAGAGCAGCTGGTTAACACCCTGGCCTGAAGTGCCGGCATCCATGTGGACGCTGGTTCGAGACCCAGCTGCTCCACTTCCAATCCAGCTCTCTGCTATGGCTTGGGAAAGCAGTAGAGGATGGCCCCCCTGCACCTGTGTGGGAGAGCGGAAGAAATTCCTGGCTCCTTGCTTTGGATCTGTGCAGCTCAGGAAGTTGCAGCCAGTTGGGAAGTGAACCATCGGATGGAAGACTTCTCTCTCTCTCTGCCTCTCCTCTCTCTGTGTAACTCTGCCTTTCAAATAAATAAATAAATAAATAAATCTATCTTTTTAAAAAAAGAAACTAAAAATTAAAATACATGAAAATTGAAATTGATCTCATTCAACTTTAATTGTGAAGGTGAAGACCCTGACCATCACCCTCTAGGTGGAGAGCAGCGACACCATCGACAATCTCAAGGCCAAGATCCAGGATAAGGAAGGCATTCCTCCTGACCAGCAGAGGCTCATCTTCGCTGGCAAGCAGCTGGAAGATGGCCGTACTCTTTCTGACTACAACATCCAGAAAGAGTCTACCTTGCACCTTGTCCTGCGTCTGAGAGGTGGCTGTTAATTCACAGTGCCTGATGGCATTACTCTGCACTATAGCCATTTGCCCCAATTTAAGTTTAGAAATTACCAGCTTCAGTAATAGCTGAATCTGTTCAAAATATTAATAAACATTTTGTTGCATGATAAAAAAAAGTGATTTTATTTTCAATTAGTATATGTAAGGCCTTTTCATCAATAGAAAATTGAAGTGATTCATTCAAAACTAATGCTTTGCTGACTTTTATATAGTCTTTATAATCATTTGCTATTCCCTGTATGCCTAGTGTTAATAGATATAATCCATCAAACATTACTCAGAATACCAAATGATGAGACTTTCTAAGTGTCTAAAGAAATCCTGGGGCTGGTGCTGTGGCTTAGCAGGCTTTACCGCCGCTTGCAGTCTCAGCTGCTCCATTTCCAGTCCAGCTCTCTGCTATGGCCTTAGAAAACAGTAGAAGATGGCCCAAGTCCTTGGGCCCCTGCACCCATGTGGGAGACTCAGAAGAAGTTCTTCTTCTCTGGCTTTGGATGGGAACAGCTCCGGCGGTTGCGGCCAACTGGGGAGTGAACCAGTGATGGAAGACCTCTCTGCCTCTCTCTCTTTGTAACTCTGACTTTCAAATAAATAAAAAAAATCCTAAAGCAAAAAAAGAAAAAAAAATCCTGAGAACAAGTAATATACATAGGTAAAAAGTCAAGTTTAAGAACACTGACATTTGAATTAATTTGTTTTTGTGTTAAACTTAATAAGGAAACTACTAACATTTGAGTAACATTATGCTTAGGACCACATATACCTGATTTTTAGATGGTCAGAACTTAATTTTGATTGTACTATTTATTATTAATGAGATCACATATTTTTTGGAGGCAGAGATGTCAGGTTCATTGAGTTAAAACCCCATGGAACATTTTATACTATTGATCATGATAAAATACAAGGGAGTTGATTTACTCAGCTGCTTCAAACAACTCAAATATGTATGCCTGCATATTTAGTTGAAAGAGAACTTGGCACTTTGATCTTCAGGGAGCGTAGGGTAGTGATCCCTAAGAAATGAGCAACAAGTAAGGTCAGATCTACAATTGCCTCAATTTAGTTTTCTAAGATAATTTGTGAGCTACATAACTGATTAGGAAAAGTCCCCAAAGATCCTGGCAATCTCCATGAATTGGGGGAAAACTGAAGACCAAAAGTCTAAAAGTTTCAGATGCATGACTGGAGAGGAAATCACAAGAAGAGAGTTGATGTGCAGACAGTACTTTGCTTGGACAAAAAGCCTAACAGCACAGATAAAATTTTTAAGGTAATGAAAATTCCAGTAAATAACTTTAACTTGTGTGTATAAGAATAGAATAAGGCTGGCGCCGTGGCTCACTTGGTTAATCCTCTGTCTGCTGTGCCAGCATCCCATATGGGCGCTGGGTTCTAGTCCCGGTTGCTCCTCTTCCAGTCCTGCTCTCTGTTGTGGCCCAGGAGAGCAGTGGAGGATGGCCCAAGTGTTTGGGCACTACACCTGCAAGGGAGACCAGAAAGAAGCTTCTTGCTCCTGGCTTCAGATCAGCGCAGCTCCGGCCATTGTGGCCACCTTGGGGAGTGAACCAATGGAAGGAAGACCTCTCTCTCTCTCTCTCTCTCTCTCAGTCTCTGTCTCACTGTCTATAACTCTACCTGTCAAATAAAGAAAAGACAAGACAAGACAAGACAAGAAAAGGACTAGAAAAAGGAATGTGCAAGACAAGACAAGACAAGACAAGAAAAGGACTAGAAAAAGGAATGTGCATTATGGCTGTCCATATTCAAGTAAAAATTTTTTGCTTCTAAAATTTACATTACTTACAAAAAAGATTTATTTAGTTATTTGAGAGCTAGAGTAACAGAGAGAGACAAAGAGAGATAGAGAGAAGTCTTTCATCTGCTGGTTCACTCCCAAATTGGCCCCAATGTCTGGATCCGAGCCAGTCCAAAGTCAGATGCCAGGAGCTTCTTCCTGGTCTCTCATGTGGGTGCAGGGGCCCAAACACTTGGGCCATCCTCCACTGCTTTCCAAGTCCATAAGCAGAGTGCTGGATCAGAAGAGAAGCAGCCAGGACATAAACTGGTGTCCTTATGGGATGCTGACACCACAGGCTGAGGCTTAGCCTACTAAGTCACAGCACTGGCATCTACATACTACTTTTGACTTATGAAATTAATTTCATCGGTAAAAAATGAATACCCAGATTTGATATTTGAATTCAAAATTTCTAGCATTATAATGCTGTTTTATGTTCTTTTTGTCATTTCCTGGTGATGTCCCCTCACTGATGCTTAAAGTGACTGTAGCTAGTCTTTCCTTACCTTTAATAAGCTTTTCTTTTTAGGCCAGTTGAAGTGCAGTGAGTAATTTCTTTCAGTTTATATCACATTAAAGTGTGAAGTTTCCTCATAGGATTTAAAAAACCATACAACTTTATAAACATAAGAATTATTTCTGCATTAAAAGGACTAAACACAGCAGGATAGTACTGCAGACACTGGGGATGACTTAGTCGTTGAATTGAAATGGAATACTCCCCCTAGGTGACTGAGAAAATGTCATAATCTTTTCAATATGATGAACTGAACAGGCTTATGGAGATCAAGGTAAAAGCCAGTTTTGAGGCTAAAAGGTGCAATCATCACAATTGGAACTTTTAATCTGAAAGACCTACAATTTCCTCTCCCATTGGCTTCCTTGGGATGGCTTAACTATAGGATTCACCTAATTCCATTTGAAGGTACCTTGAAAGCATTATAAAGAGTAAGGAATCAAGCAAGAAGCTAAGAGATTTTGGGCTTTCTAAGTCTCCCAAGCCTAGCATCACAGATTTGTAACTTTTATGTATCTTCATGTTTCAGATGTGAGAAAAGACTCTTTAAGATTATGGCCAATAAAGACAAATGTTAAAATCTGTTAGAAATTTATATGCTCACAATAGTTGATGGGCTGTGGATATGGTTCACAGGCAGAGGTTTGAAGCTAGAGTGTAGCTTTGTGTTCTTTGGATGGCAGTGTGCAACTGCTGAAACTGTAACCCAGAATCCTTTAATTGGAACCGCAATCTTATCAAGTCAAATGAAATAGTGAAACATAGCAGCTTGCTGGAGACAAAGATTAGGGATCAATGGGCTCGTCTTTAGAAAGCACAATAGGCTGCAGTGACTGACAGGGATGCCCCATTTCAAAGCAAGAGTGAGAGCCTCCTCTGAAGCTTAGAACCAGCACACAAAGACATAAAGGGATTTCACCAAATTGTCAGGGAAATGGAGGGCTAAGCAGATTCTTAACTTTGAGAAATCTAGCAAAGCACATCGGTCAGGTTAACATAAAGTCCTGCGTTTCAAAATCAGGAAACTTTGCTGATAACAGATAACAGATGGAAATGGGAAGATGCTAACAGGACAAAAGCAAAAAATGAATTACAGGAAACTTCTCTCCCAAGAAAAATTCAAAATTTGTTTTGATATTATTCTGTAGATTCCCATAAAGAGGAAACTTTCTAGGTATCTTAGGGAATACAAAGAAGTAGGACATGAACCCTATTCATGTAACTGTATTTAAGAATACACACACTAATTCTGATAAGAAACCCAAAAAAATGAGATCTAGTACTAAATGTCTACTCTCTCACAAACGCTTTTTTAAAGCTTTTTATTGCAGAATATTTTTTTAAATTTAGAAAACACAAATGTGAAACAATGCAAAATTTCCGTGTACCCACACCCAGCTTTCCCTATAGCTCACATCTTATATTATTGTGATATACTTGTCATAATCAATAAATCACAACCAGTTCTCCCTATTAAACTATGTTATTAGTATGGTATATACTTTTTAAAGTAGATTTGTAGTCATTTATTTCAAACTTCAAAATGACAATCATTATTAATTTTTCAATTTTATCTATCAGAAACACAGGATAAGAGGTTTTAACTAAGCAACTGTTGTGGTGTCATACAGCAACCAAGTGGGAGAGACAGAAGTCAAACACTGGTAGTATGATTTCATTGTCCATAGTCTTTCAGTGTGCTAGAATCCCTCCTCTGAGGAGATACATTAAAGTCTATCTTCACTCTGAGAAAATCAGAATCCAAATCACTTTATCCTGACCACTAGAACAGAGTCTGTATTCTTTCCATCTGTAGGACTCAAGATTTTTATGATGACTGATGCAGACATCATCTCTGACAATATCCAGTTACTCTATTGTTTATGCAGCATTTCTATGTGCAGAACAGCACATGCAGGCATGTACAGGTACACAGAAGCATACACACACACACACACACACAGTGTCTATACATTCTTTCCCTATGCTGTTCTTCCATCCAGCTCAGTGGTTTGTACACTTAGAGATTGTAAGGGACACTTGGGGAACTTTTCTATAAAATATCAATTCATCATTTTTATCATAAGATCATATCCAGTAAGCATAAGGTAGATTTAAGAATTTTCACTAAAAACATTTTCCCAAGAGTGACAACGATGCTGGTCCAAGTACCACATGGACCCGCTCAGTGCTCTGCCAGAAGAATTCACCAAAGCTAGTCTTTCTCTAAGTACATTTACTACTTTCTTGTTAGATCTCATTGCTGTGAGTTTTCAAAATGTGGAACTGTGTGTTTTAAATTTCTGAGAAAGTCAATGAAACAAGGCCCAAGTAGCACTCGTCTGACAATGGAATTCCTCTTTTATTTTTGGCTTAAACCAAGCAATGCATGAAACAATCAGTATCTAACATGGCCTCACATCTTCCTAGGTGACTTCATTATGTCTCTAATGTGGAGTTAACAAAGTTCTTACTATGTTTTTATGAATGGTACACTCCTTCATTGGTTAATATGATCTGCTCATTTCATATGTATTTGTATTCATGTAATATTTTATATCTGTGCTTATTTTCTTCCCATTTAATTATTTCTTCCACTTTTGTATTTACGTTTATTCATTCATTCATCATATGCTCTTAGAAACAAGTAAACTCTAAAGAAATGATCAACATAAAAATGACCAGATGGGAAGATGAAAGTTAACAGGAGATGGGATGGTTGTTCAGTCATCACTTGGAATGACTGCATCTCATATCAGAAAACAGTTTGAGTACCAGCTACTCTGATTCTGGCCCAG